GACATGGTTTAGTGGTGGGATGGCAGGGTTAGGTTAATGGTTGGACTTGATGATCTTAAGGGTCTTTTCCAACCTAAACGATTCTATGATTCTGTAATGCTAGCCCAGCTAGAAGGATTGAGTGACAGGCTCTGATATGGGCTATCCAGAAGTGCACAAGGAAGCAGCTGCAGAACCAGCTGGGATTATTTCTGGGGCAAGATGTGCTCTAGAGGTAAAGAATACCACAGGGACGCATAGGCAAGGCAAGACACATTCATTAGTGACTTCGTTGAAGGAATAAGCTCACAGCGTGCAGCTGTCTTGCCTGAGAGGTTCACAGGAATGGGATGGATGGGAGAGATGGAACAGACACCAAACAACAGCAAATGCATGAGGTCACTTGCAAGTTGGAGCGCATGCATGTAGCAGTGCTATGGCACTCACACACTTCAAAAGGATTGTGCACACTGGGAAGGACTGGAAGGAGGGACATGTTGCTGCAAGGGGGAGAGAAGGCCCATGCTGAAACCTCCGCCTGTAACAGCTCCTCCCAGTGTGCACAATGCCACCAGCCCCAGGCTATGGCCAGGCCATCTGGGGAAGGGTCATGGAGGCAGCAAGGGTTCAGTGGCAATAACCAACTGCCAAGCCCACTATGTGAAGGAACATGAGGTCCAGGGACCCAACAGCCAGCTACAGCCACATCTTGGCTCACTGAGAGGCGTTGGCTTGGGGAGACTCCACAGATCTCAGCTGCAATACACATCACAAGTATCAGGAAAGGGACAAACACTTTTGGCAACTGCTCTTTAGCCAGCAAACTTGCTTGCACCCAGACAGGCCAGGCTAACCCCAGTCCCAAGCCCTGGATCAAATCTGAGCTCAGTGCCAGATAGCACATTCCAAGGAATGAGCCCTGTTCACCCTCCGGCATCTCCATAGCCTCTCTGGATAGCAGAGGTGGGAAGGGGATCCTGCACGTTTCTGGTCACTCCCTGCTTTAAAGCAGAACCAACTAGATTCAGGGCTTATCTGGTCCAGGGTTGAGTCTCTCTGATGACAGAGCTTCTCTGGGACTGTCTCAGACTTTTACCACCCTTGCAGGGAAGCATAATACCAAGTATGAATTTCCCTTGTGCAGCTTGTGCTCATTGCCTGAAGTCCAGCCCCTGTGGGCCTCAGGGAAGACCTCACATCTTTCTCTATAAACCCCCAACCCAGAGCTGTGCAGCAACTGAAAATGCTGTTCTGCAGCTTGGCCAACCCCAGGCTCCCACTCTGGCTCCAAGGGAAAAGGCTTACCCCATGCTAGCTTGGCTCACGTTCAAGCTGTGAGGACTGGTGCTTCTTGTATACCATTTGCCCACCTCTCCTTCCCCAGGACCCTGCCGTTTCTCAGGATCATTGGCTGGCAGTCCACACGTGACAGCAGGAGTCCCACCCTAGTATCCTTATCCAGGCCTGGCCCTGCTAGCTCCTCAGCCCTGTAAGAAGCAGCAGCTGAAATCTGTGCAAATCACAACAACGTGCTGGCTGCAAAGCTGCCCCAGGCCACAGGGGTGGGTGCATAAACTCAATTACAAAAGAGAACAGTCGTTATGAAAGCTTGCAGGGAGTCCAAGAGGGACATTTTCCCTTGAGGCACATGTCCCTCCTGGAGAGCAATCCATGACTGCCCAGTGAGGCAGTAAGCACTGAGGCAAAGTGCTCCCTCAGGACACAACAGGCTGGGAACTGCATCTCAGATCCAGCTGGATATGAGGCAAAAGGGTTAAACACAGGGGACATGCCTGAGGAACCATCCCCCAACACGTCCCAGGAACCATGTGGAGAAAAACAGTCAAACAGCCATCTGACAGCAGTATCTTACAAAGACCAAACCCCCCCAAAAAAAGCCTTCTTTATTGAGAGCAGCACATAAAAACCCAACAAAACCCAACCCTTTTTGGCTGCCATACCCTCTGCTCAAGCAAACAAACTAACCCACTCTAGGCTGCATTCCAGTAACAGAAATACTATGGTAGGGAGGAGTCAGCACTCTGGAAGAGGAAGAGGGAGAGAGGGGGCGCTGCCCAGAGTCATCGTACAAAAAAAAGGCACAGGGTAGTTGGGAAAGGTAGTGAGCTCCTTCATATGCCAGGCACTTCGTGTTCCTGCTGGCTGGCCTGCACCCCTGGGGCATGGGGGAGTCAGGCATGCCTAGCACAGATGGATATAGAGAGGCGCCAGACCAGGCCAGCAGATATGCACGTGGTGAGCGGGGAGGGAGAGCCTGGTGCTGGAGCCCAGCTCTTGCCGGGTGATGGGGAGCTGCGCTCCATCCACACCAGCAGCCCAAGGGCACCGGGCTGGGCAGGCAGAGAGCAAGAGGCAGCAAGGGCTGCTTTTTGGGAACTGTGGAGGAGAGGGGGGGGTGGGGCTGGGGTACACTGGCTTGTGCTTTGAGTCCAGCAGCTGCTGGTACCGAGCTGCTCGCTGGTGCATCGGGGTTGTGCTCAGCAAGGGGCCACAGGAGCGCCAGGGGCTCCCCAGGCACCTACAGACCCCTGTCCACCCCACTGCATCCTTCCCCCAGCAAGGGCCGGGATGCTCAGGCCTTGCTGTCAGCTGGGCTGTCCCCGAGGGCAGTGGCAAGCTCGCTGAAGGAGGGTCGATCCTTAGGGCTGGGGGCCCAGCAGCGCTGCATCAGCTTGGCGAGGCGGGAAGGACAGCCCTCGGGATGCGGGAGCTTCGTCTTTCCTGACTGCAGACCTGGTGTGAAAGCAAAGTCCAAAGGGCTGTTGGGAAGAGGTATGATCCTCTCTGCGGGGTGCAAGGAGGGCAGCATCTCTCCACGTGTGCTGGCACAGCCTTCCCCAGCCAGACCAGCACTGTGTCAAGAGTGGGGGGACCGTTACACAGCCCGGTTGGCCCTCTCTACCACAAGAAAAGGAAATAGGCTACAATGCCAGGGACAGCACAAGGTACTCCACATACCTGCTAGGACCTCATCATCTGCCAGTGGGGTGTAGGGCATCTCCCCATGCATGAAGACCTCCCACATGAGCACCCCAAAGGACCACACATCTGACTTGGTGGAGAACTCGTCCTCCAGAACAGCTTCAGGTGGCATCCAGCGCAGCGGGATCCAGGCCTGGCGGAAGTGGTAGTACTCGCTGCAGGAAGGACAGGCAGGCAATGAGACTGGCATCATCCCATCCCCTCCCATTCCCCTGCCAGGCTCCCAGCTGACCTGTTGTATACGTCCTTGCTGAGGCTCAGGGATGAGACCTTGACCTGCCGCTGGGCACTGACCAGGCAGTTCCTGGCTGCCAAGTCCCGGTGCACAAACCTGCCATTGGAGAGATGCTCCATGCCCAGGGCCACCTGTGTGCAGAGAGACACCTGACCCCAGAGAGATATCAGCACTGGCTGCCCTATTCAGGCTCCCCAGCCCCACAGCACTTCCAAAGCTGCATTATCACCTTATGTTTGGTAGTAAGCGGCTGCGGCTTGAGAGACTCATCTTTGCTCTTGGAGATCCTCAAGAACTGCTTCAGGTCCCCCTGGGAGACAGACAGCAACTCAGAAGCAGCACGTCTCCATGCTGCCAGCCGCATTGGTCCCTGCAGTGTCCAGATGTGGCAGGCCTACTGGGAACCTTCATCTCCTGGGCCATAGTCCCCACCTGTCCTCCTGGTCCTTGCCCTGTAGGGCAAGCCAGCACCTCACTCCTGGGTCTCAACTGGCTAAAATCAAGGCATCTCTCCCATGAACTCCATGTTCCTCATAGCAGCCCTTAGCATTTGCAGCCATTCTGCAGCATGGAGTCCTATAGCTTAACTTATTCAGTTGAGTCCTCGACATAAACCAGAAATCAGGAGGATGTAGGACAAAGTCACCTCCAGGTCTCACAGGAGACCCCCATCCCCCTAGAGATTCCTCCACACATTGGGAACAGCTCAGCCTGGTCTCCCTGCATCTTACTTGTCCTGTCCTGCCAACCTGGACCACGTCACACTTGCAGGCCCCATGCCCATTGTCCAACCCCCTCCTCCTCACTGCAGACACTGGTGGCAGGGCCCTTACCAAGTCTACATACTCTAGGACCATGTAGTGCGGCTCTGCCTCGCGGCACAGCCCCAGCAGCCGCACCACATTGGAGTGGTTTAGCTTGCCAAACATTTCTGCCTCTCGCCGGAAGTCCATCTGCAGCTGTTCATCCCTCGTCTGCAAGCTCTTCACCAGGACCAGTGCTTCACCCTCACCATCCTCTGCACCTTTTGCCTTGGCCAGGAACACTTCACCAAACTCCCCCCTGCCTGGAAGTATAGAGCAGCACATGGGAAACACCATACATTAGGACAGCATATATATTTGACAGCCCAGTGCCTGCAGGGCCCTCTGTAAGCCAGCATATCCACTTTTCTGGCTAGGACATGCTGGGGCTTCAGCCACAGATTTCCTTCTGGAATGGGGTCAGGGCCAGGGTGGCTCAGCATACCCAGGGTTGTGATTGTCTGCAGGTTGGAACGTGGAAAGTGCATCTTGTCAGCAGCACTGTGCCGCTTGCTGGCCCCAGAGCTGCTGCCTAGGTTGGTCAAGGCCACTTCTTCCTGGATCTCTGCTGTCATCTGCCCATTCTGCAGCAAAGCACCACCTGCAAGGGAAGCAGAAATGGCTTCAGCATCCTGCCAGGCTGTGCAGAGAATGTCATGCTGGTGATCAGCCCCTTCTGGGGCCGACACTCCAATCACCCACAACTGGCTCCGAGAACCCCAGCTTGATGTCTAGCTCCAGGAAACAGAGTGGCCTCCACACAGTTGTTCCCTCTGGGCTCATGTCTGGCCCCATCTCTGGCAGCCCTGCAGCCACCCTTGAAATCAGACGCTGAGCAACAGCTTTGGTCCCAGAGCCAACCAGCCCCATCTGGCCTTGTCTGTCCCATGTAGCCACTCAGTCATCCATGTAGCCACCTACACCCAAACTACCATTGACAAATCTCTGCAGAATAGCAGCAGGAGATTGAACGTGCGAGGCAGACAGAGAGGACCCTGCTCGTATAACCACAGTTTCTTGATGCCCAAGAGACTCTCAAGTCTATCTGGCATCAGCTGCTGGAGCCTGACCCCCCTGCTCCTGCTCACTTCCCAGCAAGTCAGCAATGCTTGTGTCCTTGGTAATCTTGAGCCTGTCAGACCAGATCAGCCTGGAGTTTCCTTTACTGCCTGGGTTAAAGCAGTGCTAGGAAGCACTATCCTTGCAATTAACTCCAGAAAGCTTTCTGCTCAGGAACTCCACTAGAAATTTCCCTAGCACAAATAGAAACCAGTGAATAGGACAAAACATCAGTGCCTCAAGAAAGTAGAGAACCCTGCATTCTATAGGCAGCTCATAGGGGAAAGACTGTATAGATAGCTAACCTTGATTTTGAATGCATTTACTGCTTGGATGAGACTTGGCACTAGGAAGTGGTACTTTCCATAAACTGAAGGAAGAAGGTTGAATGTGAAGCAGGGCATGGCACTGAGCTAATGTGGCTGACACATGTGCAGCATCACCCTGAATTACTGTTCACACTCCATTTCAGCTAGTCCAGGAGCAAGCATTAAGGGAACACCTGGCCATGCAGAAGGATTTAATCACAAAATTAAGACTTGACTCAACATGAGGTAGCTCCAACAGGAATCCCACTGCCCATGATTTCCATCAAGCAGTATTGTACAGCAGTGTGTGTACATGTATGCTTACAATGCATGCGTACAAGAGAGGTAGCAGCCCACCAGCACATCCTGAGCAGGTCTGGCCACAATGACAGGGACCATGGCTTTGTCACAGATAAGCTTAGAGCTGTGAAGGCTGAGATACGTTGACTTAAGAGCCATGGCTACCAAGAGCTGTCCTCTCTCACATGCTGGAGTAACATTTGCAGAAGACCATAGCAAAACCCCACCACCTACCCTACAAATGAAAGCTCGGTGCTGCTTACACTCCCTCTGTTTTTATGCTAATTATTAGCGAGACTGTTTGAGCCTGTGCTGTCTGCACTCATGACTGATAGTGTCTCAAGACTACAAACTTGAAGCCAGGAGGAAAATACTAGACGACCGCTGCAACTGTGCCAAGAAAATACCAAAGGCTGCAGAGGGAGTACGCTGCCACTGAGAGACAGCACCAGCAGGCAGCAACGACGAACTTTTGAGAACAGACATCCACATGTTTCACAGAGCTTCGATGAGACAGTTGATAACAAAGGGACTGCAAACATGAACAGGAGGTTTAATTTATGTATCCAGCAGTCCAGAGGGAAACCAAGTGTAGAGGAGCTGCCTGCTTTGCCCACCTGCCTGTAACACCTGAGCATCTCCTGGAGAGACACAGCCGTGCTGCCCTGGAGAAATTAGCACATGCCAACAGAGGAATCAAATGCTCCCCTCAGTCCCTGCAGCTGTTAACCTCCCCAAATGCTGTGTCTGTGTTCACCCAAAAAAAGCAGCACAGTCAGACAGAGGGACACTGACAGCAAGCACCCTTGTTACAGAGGATGTGGCACACCAAGGACATGACCTTGGAAGGTGACTGACTTGTTAGAAGTGCATTGAACCACAGGAAATCCATACAAAGGATCCACTGCAAATTCATAGGAAGGTCAAATCTGTCTGGGTCCTGAAGGCACTGGAAAAGTCAGCTGGTGGCCAGCCAGGGAGTACTTGTAGGTGCTGAGATACTGCAGGTCACCCAGCTAAAGAGGGACCACATCAAAAGGAGGAAGAGCCAAATCTTTGAAGACCATGGTGAAGGGGGTGACTCCACTGGACCTGACAGCAAACACAAACCGCTTCTCCAGAGAGGCTATGGAAGTACCAAAAAGGAGTGTAGACATCTGGACAGCGAGGTCTGCTTGTAACAGTGAAGATGCATCTCTCCGACAGCTAAACTGGTTCCAAATGAAGGGGATAAAAGAGGCAAACTCTGTCAGAATCAAAAGAAAAATATAATAAAGATAGGCCAAAATAAAAATCTGAGACCACCTCAAAAAAATATTAAAACAAATCCTTTCCCAGGAAGAGGATGCTAGCCAGAGCCTGTTGGCACAGGTGAGCCACCTGCGACTTGTTCACAGGAAGAGCTCACAGTGGAGACAGCAGCAGAGCACAAAGCTGCAGAGATGCTCCTGCATCCCTGCTCCCAGGAGGTTCCCCACAGCCAGATTTCTCTTCTGGAGGTTTGGCTCTGTTCAAAGTACCAATACAAGAGGAAAAACAGGAGACAAACCCAGCAGCGATGTTTTGCCAGGACCTCATAGCAACCCCCACACGATCAGGACATGGTTGTGTGCTGGAGAACTAGGAGGGGGAAGCACTTACAGTGGGGTGGGGGGAGATCTAGGGAATTATAAGGGCAGCAAACTCGACCACACCCCATCACTTACAAGTCCTCACTGGTATCAATGAGGCAAGGACAACCACAACATCAGGAGAAAGAGCTGAAGCAGCTTTTGGAAATGAAAGTGATGCCCCACAGATCTCTTGGGTCCACTGAAGGAATCGCATATCTCATGCTCAACGGCAATGCAGTTCAGTCTATTTGCGGGGTCTCATGGAAACAGCTGTTAAAAAGCAGCTCAGCTGCCGCAGGAGGGAACATCCTCCAATGGACGCACAGAAGGTAGGAACCAGGGCAGTGCAACATGCTGCCAATATGGAAGGAGCACCGCTGGCAGCTGCTTGCCAAAACTGCCAACTTAGCTAGCAACAAAGTTAACAGGCCAGCTGTGGCCAGCTGCAGAGGGACACAGAGCACAGGGAGGTGCAGCCAGAGATACAACATGAGGCCTGGGGAAAGCAGCCCCCACGTCCCATCCACAGTGGTGGGCTCAGCCCTGAGCTGCCTGCTCTCTCTCCAGAGCAAGCTGTGTGGGCAGGCAACTGAAGCCAGTGGCACAGCCGGGAACAGGACACAGCAGAAGCTGTGTGACTCTGCAAAACTGGATGCACCAAGTCCTGTCTGGGGCTCCCCATCTCAGAAAGGCAATAGTGCAACCAGAAAAGGCACTCACAGGAACAATCGGACATACAGAAGAGCCATGTGTTCCACTACAGAGCTGACAGGTGACAAGCTTGAAAAGCAAAGAGATAGCTTTTAGATAACCTGTTAAGCTCCAGAAGTCCTTGTTGAAGGATGCTGTAGATGCTCAAAGCTTATATGGGTTTCAGAGATAACAGGGCGAGTTCAAAGCAGATTTCAGGGCTGTTCAGTGAAAAGTCTTCCCTCTAGCACCAGGAGCTGCTGAACTGTGATTTGAACAGGCCAGCAGAGTACTACTATTTCACAGAATCACAGAATCGCAAGGGTTGGAAGGGACCTCAGGAGATCATCTAGTCCAATCCCCAATTTCATTACATTGCAACAGGGATACTCCCCTTCCCTTGGCAATGGGTGTATGTGATGCCACGTACAGGTGCTGGAGAGCAGAAGCAACACATAACTCAGCAGAGATGGCCACAGCATGGAGCTGGGATGCAGGTTTGACACTAACTTGCCTATTTCTCTCCTGGCAGCAGGTCTCCGCCACCAGAGGCCAAACCAAGAGCAACAGACTCCAAGGCTAAAGAGGAGTACCCTGTTCCCTGGGAGCTCCCTGCCCCTTGCCCTTCCAGTCCAGGGGCAAGGGGCCAGCAGTGAAGCCCCCACTCGAAGGGACCTCAGGAGATCATCTAGTCCAATCCCCAATTTCATTACATTGCAACAGGGATACTCCCCTTCCCTTGGCAATGGGTGTATGTGATGCCACGTACAGGTGCTGGAGAGCAGAAGCAACACATAACTCAGCAGAGATGGCCACAGCATGGAGCTGGGATGCAGGTTTGACACTAACTTGCCTATTTCTCTCCTGGCAGCAGGTCTCCGCCACCAGAGGCCAAACCAAGAGCAACAGACTCCAAGGCTAAAGAGGAGTACCCTGTTCCCTGGGAGCTCCCTGCCCCTCGCCCTTCCAGTCCAGGGGCAAGGGGCCAGCAGTGAAGCCCCCACTCCCAGGGGTGCTGGCCTCACCATTTAGACACTCCATTTCGGGCTCCTCGCCCTCCGGGTGCTTCTTCAGCCTCTTGGCTTTTCTCCGCTTCTTACAGTAGAACATCAGCCCCAGCACGATAATAATGTAGGCAACAGCTGCGCCCACTGAAAGCCCAATGGTCTGGATCATCTTGTAGGGTGTGGGGCTGCCAGGCCCCTCATCCTCTTCTGCTGCCGGCTTGTCTGTGGGGAAGAGAGCATCAAACCCATGAGGGTGCGGAGGGATTTCCCAAACCCTCATCAGGAATAGGGAGGAATGAGACACACACACACACCCCCCACCCTGCTGTGGCCATCTCATCGTTCAGCGGCAGAACATGGCACAGCCCACAGAACACCGCACTGCATCCTGATAGGGATGCTGCCATGACTCCCTAGCAGGCATGACCTGACACGCAGCACCCACTGGCGGGGGCCAGAGGCAGGGCCTAGAGCTGCCAGGGATACGAGGAAACCAGGTCCTGACGTTGGGCACCTCCCTTACCTACAACGTATAGGAAGGCCTCGCGGTGCTTGATGTTGCAGCTGTTGCCGGCGATACAGGTGTATTTTCCAGAGTCCTCAGTGGTGACGTCGTAAATCACCAGGGAGCCATTGGGCATGATCTGAATCCTGCCAACCACATAGAGCCCTTTGCAAGCACCACAGGGCAGAGGCAGGCTTGGGGCACCTGCAGCCCCATCTCCCCAGGATGCCTTGGCCTCAGCCCCATCTCCCCAGTGCAATCAACTTGAATCTCAGGTTGTGCAATGCTCAAGAACAAATGGTTGTAGCTCAGCTGCAGTTTGGCAGGCTGTGGCAGAAAGAGTAACCCTGGGGCCAGGGGAGTCCAGGCCCTGGGACATGGAAACAACTTACTGTGTGCCCCCCAAGCTGGGAACCCAAGACCACACCATCGGCACCCGCATGCTGGGTAGGCATGGGGAGCGCCATATTTCAGTTTGGAATGGAGGCTATGTACCTGGGCAGGAGCTTGCCAGGATCCAAAATCTTGTCCTTCCCTTTCCACTGGATGTGCGGCATGGGGTCCCCCTCTGCCTGGCACTGGAACATGGCTGTGTGCCCCTGGTACACCGTCGTGGGCTCTGGCTCTAGCTTGAAGGTGACATAAACTGAAGGTAGAGAGGCAGACACAAACGCTGTCAGCTCCTGGGAATGGTGCTGAGTTCTCACAAGGGAGCAGGGCCACCACTGGCACAGTAGCACGTGCCCTCTTGGGCTGTATGCAAAGCACTGACAAACCAAGACACTCAAGTGCCATGGGGCAGAGCTTGGAGCCAGGCCATACATTTCTCTCTCTGCAGGGACACACCAATTGGGTGCCACCCAGGCAAACGCACTGCAAGGCCAACATAGCAGGAAACCCACCTGCCTTCCATAGAGCCCTTACCTGCTACCACAAGCTGCACGGTGGCACGGATCTCACCCTGTGGGCTGTTGGAGGCAATGCATGTGTAGTTCCCCGAGTCACTCCTGCTCACCTTGTGGAAGGACAAGATGCCAGCATTGTGGCTGACATGGGATGGCAGGCTGCTCCCATCTGCAGGATGCAAGAAGAGGGATGCAGCAGTCACGCATGAAGCGCTGTGCCACATGGTGGCTTCCCAGGCAGCCACAGCACCGCTGCTTCGCCCATGTTGGAGGTGGGCCAACCCAAAGTTCCTGAGGCCCCAGGTCAGAAACAGGCATAGTGCATCCAAGTCCCCCTTACCTGTTTTAGTCCACTGGATGGTGGGTTTTTCCCGGCCTGTGGCTGAGCAGGACACTGTAACCTCCTTATCAAACTCCATGCACTGCAGTGGCTGGGGTGGAGGCGTGAACTTCAGCTTCTCTGCAAGAGACAGATGTGCTGGGAGGTGCCCCCAGCCGCAGCAGGCACTGGAGCTGAGGGTGTCATGCCTGCACCCTGCTAGGCAAAAGAGTTCCCTGCAAGGGGAGGACCTGGAGCGCTTGTCAGCTTACCTAGCACATGCACCCGTGCGTATCCCTCGATGCTGCCTGCTGGTGTGCTGCTCACGCACTTGTACATGGTCCCATCATATACCTCCACGTTGTTGATGCGCAGTGTCCCATTCTCAGAGATCTCAAACCGTGAGTCCTGCACAGAGGGAGGGAGGGAGCACGGCAGAAATGACACTGTCACCAGCCCTGGGCTCAGATCTTGCTTGTGGCACTCCTGATGCTCCACATGCCCACACCATGACTCAGATAGACACAGCCCTGCTGAGACCCACATGGAAAACTAAGGCAAGCTGCAGTGACATCTCTCTGAGGGACATCTTTCTTGTCACTGCCCCAAAACCACAGGTCTGGCTGCCAGCCAAGTGGCTAGAAACAGCCAGTTGTGCACCCATACACCAGTAGGATAGAGATGGTGCCAGGAACATGGCCAGAGTGGGGGGTGACAGGGATGCTGGCCCTAGAAGCAAGGTGAGAAACAGCAGCAGCAGAGGAAAGAGCGGAGCAGGTGCCCAGCAGAAGTACCCATGAATGGCAGGGGCTTGCCCCATTGCCTCACCTCAGAGATGGAGATGCCATTGCGGTACCAGGTGACGGTGGGTTTCAGGGAGGCCTTGCTGAGGCAGTGCAGGTATCCCGGCTTGCTCTCCTCCAGCTGGCTGTCCTTGGGCATCTCCACCCACTTGGGTACCGCTGGGCATGGAGGCAAGGGGTTATGCAGGGCTGCTCACCACCCTTCTGGCCAGCACCAGCACAGACCAGACAGGCAGTGTACAGCCAGCCATGGGGGCTGCAGCCCAGCCGTGAGAGATGTGCTTCTCTGTAGCAGCGAGGTGATGCACTGTCCCGCCCCAGTTTGCCCCAACCCCCTATCCAGCCCCTTTCTCTGCTCCCAGCCCTTCTTGGAAAGCTGCTTACTAGCCACAGTGATGCTCAGCTCCTGTTTCTTCTCTCCAGCCTTGTTGGCAGCATGGCAGGTGTAGGTCCCCGCATCCGTCTCAGTGATACTGGTGAAAATGAGCTGCTCTGCCTCTTGGTGCACCCTGCCAGTAGTGGGAACTCGTTCCTGGTTCCTCTCCCACCAGACCTGGGGTGTGGGTATGCCTCGTGGGGCAGTGCAGGTCACACGGTGCCCCTGGTTTGCTGTCAACACCTTTGGGGAGAAGGGTTCCATTTCTTCGATCTCTGAAAGGAGCAATAGACAGCAGGGCTCAAACAGGGCAGGAACGTGTAGCCAACCTAACAGCAACATCATATCCATGGGAGGCACCAGCCAAGGGAGAGAGTGCACAAGCTATGTTTGCTCCCCTCATCCAGGCAGCAAGGAGGAGCCATTTCACAGATGAACGAAGCAGTTCTCCATGTACTGACCCATCACTATATTGTTGCATAGCTCCTAAGTGACTCTGCAACTCTGGCACCCACTGCCCACCCTGCCACCAGCCCAAGGACCTCACCTGCTAGCCGCAGAGTCGCCTTCAGCACAAGAGCTTTCCCTCTCTGTCCACGCCCAACACATTTATAGACACCGGTGCTGCGAGCCCTCACCTGGGTGACCAGCAGGGAACCATTGGCAAACACGGTGGTCCTGGGCACGAGGGGAGAGGCAGGGCTCAGTGGGCATCTCTGTAGGACATGGGCCAGAGCCACAGCCCCGAGATGTCCTACATGAGCCCATAGAATCAAGAGGGAGACTTTGTGCTGAGTCAAAGCTTCACAGTGCAGGGGGAGCAACACACATAAACAAGGAGATGGTGGGACACATGCTTAATGGAGAAAATGAACTAACAGAAATCTCTTTCTTGGAGAAGAGCTGGTTCCCACCAAAAGATGCATTACCAAATTGGGCCAGCTCTGAAAGCTGGCACAGCCAGAAAAGGGGGTAGGGGGCACAAGGTGGCGCCCAGGAGCTGCCAGGCGACTGGGCATCTGGCACCCAGATAGCACCATTTGCCTTGCACTGCCTGGCTGAGAGACAACCCAGGCTCCAGGATCACCATCCATGGGCAGCCTAGGCTGGGAGATGTTCCCAGCTCTGGGGATTGCCCCATGCATAGGTGTCTGGGGCTCAGAAACATTCCTGGCTCTGGGGATCACCGTGCACTGGTATCTGGAAGTGCAAGACAGCCACAGACCCAGTGATCACGGTGCAGATGTTGGGGGCTGGAAGGTGTCCCTCAGTCTGGCGATCACCACCTGTGGGCAATCTAGTACTGGGACATGTCCCTGACTCTGGAAATTGTCCTAAGTGGCTGTCTGGGGCTTGAGTTGAACCTGGCTCCACAAAATCCCAACGTGTGGACACCTGGGACTGGGAGACATCCCCAGCTTTAGGGATCACCATGTGTGGGCACCTAGGACCAACAGCCCCACAGACTCATTTGAGGACAAACCGCCTGCTGAGTCCTATGCAGTTAAAGGCCATGCACAAGTACCAAGGCCCTACTAAACCCAAGCCAGCCAAGCTGAGAAATCAATCCCAATGGCCAGCTCGATGCTGAATGCTTGCCCTCAGGCACAGCCAGGGTTTGGCCATTCTTCTGTTGCTTCTGGAACATGGTGCCCCCCCTCCTCCCAGCCCTGCCCACATCACCGGGGTCCCTATTACTTGGATCTGTTGGTGATGGGGCTGTCTTCAAAGAGCCACTCCTGCATGGGAGGGGGCACGGCTGCAAACTGGCAGTCAAACATGGCCTCTTCGTTCTTTGTCACGATGAGGTCTTGTGGGACGATCACCGCCCGAGGAAAGCTCTCATCTGCAATGTCAAAGACCACAGAAGGGTGAGAAGAGCAAAGCAGCTTGTGGTGTCCCTTCACCAGTGCTCTGGAGGAAACAAAAAAGAGCAGGGTGTACCCTGCAAGCACACTGGCGGCCTGAAGGAGGCAGACATGCCAGCACAGCTGTAGTTAGGCAGGCAGTGCCTGGGACTGCATGTGGTAGCTGCTCTGGGTAAAGCCCCTTCTGCTTCCAGCAAGGCCCTGAGCACCCTGGGCTCCTAGCGAACAGATCATACCTGTCACCGGACTGCAAATTCCCTTGTCCAATTCCAAATACCTCTCTAAGGTCAACACCTCCAGCCCTCCTTGGGCCTTGCCTCCAAAGGCCAACAGGGCATCTCACCCACATGGCCCCACGGTGGCCCTGGTATTAGCAGAACCAGCAGCACCTACAGCCTCCAGGGTTCAAACCTTGTTGAAGAAGGGAGGACCGTGGTGCTCCAGAACCAGAGATGATAGCATAGACCTGCTCCAGAAAGATGCAGGGGCAAATTAACACCTGTAGACAGGGTAGGGTTCAAACCCAGCCAGATGTATCAGGCCTGCCTCCGACTAGAGGCTTTGCAAAGAGACAGTCACACCAGCCTAACACTTCCCCTGCAGCCTGGCTCCCAGCCTGCAGCAAGGGAAGGCTGTTAGCACAGCAGTAAAACAGCCAAGCCCCAGCCCTGAGCAACCGGGACACAACTCACCGATGATATTCAGCGTGAAGTTGTTCTGGCTGCAGACGAAGCCGACAGCACTGCGGGCACAGCAGTAGTAGAGACCATTGTCGTCGGGGCTTGCGCTCTGCAGGGTCAGCGTTCGCTCCTTGTTGCTGACAGAATAGCTGCTGCGGCCATCGGGGAGGGGGACACCATCCCGAAACCACTGCCACGTGGGGCTGCAAGACAAGGGTGAGAGGGTGACCGGGTGCAGGGCACTGACAGGGCTCCCCAGAGAGCATGTGTGCAGAGGAGAGAGCCCAGAGATGGCCCATTTCCCTGGCTCTTCGTCCCCGCTGCTGGCCCCAACACAGACATGAAGCCATGAGACATGCAGCCAAGTGGACGGGACATGACTGGAAAGCGACGGAGAGTGACCGCAGCACACCAAGCAGCTCAGCAACCGGACTGTGACAGCCCGTCCTTACTGTGCTCCTTGCTACGCGGCTCGGCGGAAGCCGTTTGCCTTCTCCCCCGGTGTTCAGCCACAGGCTCAATCCTGCCTTTCGCCTTCCCTAGACTCTACTGAATCCTCGCAGGAGAGAGGAGAAAGAGATAGGGAGAGAAGGGAAGAGCACGCAGTGAAGGTGCAGGGCGGCCCCTGGCAGGGTCCGCTCCTTGGAAGGCAACCCTTACCGCGGGTGGCCGTCGATGTGACACCGCAGCACCACTGTGGAGGAGGGCTGGATCTCAGCTACGCTGGCTGGCTGCTTCAGCACCACACTGCCTGTCTCAATCCCTGTGGGATCAAAGAATATTAACACAGCTGGCTCTCCAAACCTACAGAGCCCAGGTGGATGCAGACTCTGTAATAATCAGAGCAGGCAGCAAAGGCACAAGCATGCTTAGAGACACTTAAGTCCTCAAGCCAGCATGGAATAAAGGGACACCCACCCTGGAAATGTCCCGCTTTGCCCCGTGTAGCTTTCTCTGAGGGATAAGAGGGGCTGTGAAAGGATTTGCAGTACTCAGGACATACTTGGTGCAGTAACATCCCCGTTTCATATATACAAATGGGGAAGGCAGCAGAAAGCATCTCCAACAGCCTTAGGGACATCAACAGATAAAAGCAGCCTAGAGGGCGCGAAGGACATGGTAGCTGGAGAGGAATCCTACTCGCACACGCCAGCTGATCCCTGTCTGACCACCACCCCCACACGCATTAGCAGGCAGCCCGGCAAAACTTGGTGTCCAGTCTCAGGCCCTCTCAAGAGAGCGTCCTGTCCACGGTGGGCAGCACCATGCTGCGTCGTGTGCCTGGCTGCCCTCGCCCCACACTCACACTTGATATTGAAAGATGCATTGGCTGTGCGGGCCTCCTCCCCAGTGAGCAGGTTCCTTGCTACACACTGGAAGTCCCCAGCATCCCGGTGCCGATCGACAGCAACAAACTGGAGGTTGCTGCCTTCCTTGAAGCGCTGCTCCGTGTCCTGAACGGGGAGCCCATTCTGCAGCCATACAAACTCCACATCTGCTGGCTCCTCCACCTCGCAGCGGAGGATGGCGCTGCGGCCGTGCAGGGCATCCTGGGAGTACGGCTCCTTGGTGAAAAGGATCATTGCCCGAGTCCCCACAGCTGCAAGACAGAAAAAGGAGGGCATGTTTAGAGCATGGGTATGGGGAGACAGGAGCAGGTAAGCATGTGCTGTTTTCAAGGTTCTCCAGGCAGCTGAAACAGCTATGTTAGGAGAAACACCCCAAAGTGTATCTGCCAAAAACAATCCCCAGTGAGGGATTTTAGACAGATCTGTGCTCAGATTCCAGCACAACCACTTTAAAGGCTGCCTGTCCAGCAATCACTGGGACAGGGCTGCCTGAGGTTGCCACAAGCCAAGGAGAGCCCTCTGCTGCCTGGGGCCAAGAGGCATTAAGAGAGAGCTCTTGCGACACGCTGACGAGTGCCACACTTCCAGCCTGAACAGAAAGGTGTCTCGCAGTGTACGAGCTGCGCAGTCAGTCACTGAAACACTGGAGAGCAACCAGCTTCCTGGGCTGTTCACATGTTTCTTTGAGTTCCTCTTCTCCTGGTTTTTGGGACACATCCTAAGTCCCAGCCATGCATCAACATTGCTCCAGACCAGAAACACCCATAGACTGTTTCTAGGCTTTCCTCAGAGCTTCTCTGCTTGGGATCGTGTCTCCATCTCACCTCTACATCCTCAGAAATTACCCAGAAAAAAACCTGGTCTTGAACAAGGATTGCCCATGGGAATAAACACAGCAGCTGCTGGAGCACGGCACAAGAGGCTGCAGCAGTGATACCCCAAGCTTGTGCTGGGGACTCAGCCCACTTGCAAGTAGGAGCAGAAACAAAAAATTGCACTGGTTGACCCCAGGGTCTGATAGTGGCCATGGGGTGGCTCTGGAGGGCTGGAAGCATCTCTTTGCAGTGGTGGAAAAGCCAAAGAATCCTCCTCCTGACGTGGCTGCCTAGGGACCGTGCTAGCATATTCCTAAATCTGGCTGCTGCCTGGCCACAGCCAGCCAAGCAGGCGCTCTGCTCCGATTACCAGCTGGCCGCAGAAAGGAAAGCAGACAAAGGGCAATTCAGTACACGCTGACTGCTGTTGGACTCTGAAAAATGTTCCCAGCCCCATGCTCTGCAGGAAAAGAGGCCAAGCCAGGCAGATTTTGAGCATCTTAGAAGCATGAAAGCGAACAAGAAAGTGGTCAAAGCAGTGCGTTCCTACCACTGCAAGGAAAACGGCTTCAGAAAGCGGTTGCCTGGATGAGTTACACGAACAGAATCCAAGCCCAGCTGAAGGGCAGTTCCTCTTTGGAGGCTCAGCCACATCCTCCTGCCTGGTGTTTGTATAAAAGCCTAGTAAAGGGACGTAATTTGACAGGGTAGCTCAGTCACCCAGATCTAAGGGATCCTATTCTGAAGGGGATGTTTTGAAGGGAGCATCTAGACATTCCAGAAAGCCTCGAGAGCTCTTTCCGTGCTCGAAAGCCTTTGGAGCACACCACGTAGTGGAAGTGCCAATCAAAGCCTCTCCCTCCTGCTCCCGCCTGCAGCCACTCATGGGCACCCCAGTGCCAGCCATGCATTTCCAGCACAGCTAGCCCAAGCTCTCCCACTCACAGTGCCAGCAAGGCATAAACACAGCCACTCATCCAGCATTGCTGCTCCCCAGGATGAGGCTCCAAGCACAATGTCACCCAGGAGCAGGGGCACCTCGGCCTGTGTCTGCTAACACCCTTTCCCCATAGTCCAGACAGAGAGAGCAACAAAGTCTTCCCATTGTAAAAACTGCAGAAGCCTCTTCCTAAAGACACTGGGGCAGAGAAGACAGAGGTCTTTCCTGCCTGCAGCCTTTGCAAGATGGGACTGTGGGCTCAATTCTCATTTTCAGCCACCCCAAAGAAGGCACTGGGTAGGGGACAGCAAGGATTTGGGAGGTCACAGGAACAGCAGTGCACCACAACACTACTACAGGGTCTAGGACATGACCTCAATTGCAGCCTTGCCTTTTACCTTCAGCACCCAATTGTGCCATTGACCTTGGTGTGCAGGCAACATTCCCAGGGTAAGTCCCAAAGCTCCTGTGTGGGCATCACTTGTCAGCTGCACACACAGCATTTAAGGCCACCAGGAGTAGCCACAGACTGACCCTTGTGGCCTGAATGACAAAGCTGCAGACAGTGCCTGAAGTCCTATCTCCTGGGTCTTGTATTGAGCTAAGCCCCATCAGCATGCTATGCTCCAAGGATTAGCATGTCCAGTGAAGTCTCCATCATCAGCCATCGTGCACCTCCCCAAAAGGTAGGAACTATCCATGTGTCTGTGACAGTTGTCTCATGAACACCACAAAATGAACACATACCCAAAGGCAACACAATGTGTGGGAATGTGTATTCTTACATAGATACACTCATCTAGTTCCACACACATCAGATCTATCTCACCAAGAGCACTCAGCAGGGTAGCAACCACCCAACCCCATGCAAACACAGCTACGTGTTCAGTAACGCAACAGCTCCATGGAGATGAGCCCATGCCAAAAGAGGCTGCTGGGACAGACAGGAGCAAAGGGGAACAGGACAGTCAAATCCACTCAGGTTTGAACCTACAGGAGCTGGGGCTGTCCTTTTCCACAGATATGCTTCAGGGCATCAAGGCATACGTCCGTCAAACCATACCTGTATGGTACAAAGCATGTGCATGCCAGCAGTGTGCATTAGGAGAGCTCACGAAGGAGCTGGATCAGTTCTCCTCTTGGTGTCTCATCCCAAAACCCTTCACAGTCTACTAGTCATGTTAGTGCTGGAGTTAGCGATGAGGCACCTCTCTGAAGGCGTACACCATCAGGATATTAAGACATATTTTAAATTAGGTGTGCTTCTAGCATTAAATTGTCAGCATTAGCAACATAGTACTAAACAGCAGCAGAACTGCTTTCGCCCCGTCACTGCCAGCGCAATTGCATTTCACTCGGTGCTGGTCAGCTGAGAGCTTCAGCACCCTCATCACACACATCCTGCTGCCTCAGCATCCTCCATGTCCAGACAGGAGGACATGGCTCTGTGGACAGGGACAAGCTCCACATGGGAAGCAGGGATTTTACAAGGTGTCAGGAAACAGTGGGTCCAGCTCCAGGAGAAACTATTTATGTCCTTATCTCCCATCCTGGGGAAATGGTCACAACCATTTCAGCTCAAGTGAGATCCCTGTGATGAATGTCTCATGAGCACAAGTGCCAAAGCCAACTGGGATAGATAAGTATTAAAGTGCAGTAAGAGCCAAAAACTTGTGTTTTGTTTTGACAATAGCATCCAAGGTGCCATAAATGGACTGGCTGCACATGCTGGAAATCACTGTTCCAACCATATATCAGATTTGGGCTGCAAGGAAAGACTGGTAGCAGCTAGATGTGGTCCAGATGTTTTGGGGTGGAAGACATCAGAAGCCCAGAGCTGGACACAGCTTTTCACAGTACTCTAAACCCAGAGCACCAGGGCCTGGTGTTAGGGGGTAGTGCTGTACTTGCCCATAGAAGTTATACAGCCCTGGTCCATGAAATGGCTGCAGGCAGCAGGGTTCATGCGTCCCCTACACCTCATCTGGGCTTTTGGGACAGGGGGTCAAGAAAGCTATCCAAGCAGAGGGCTATCTGTGTGGGATGCCATTATGCCAGTTTGGGTAAAACCTGTATAAAGCCAATAGACATCACCACCTGTACTGAATGAAGAACAAAATACCTCTGCTTGTTCCACTCACCCAGCACCACTGTGTGGCAGAGCCATGGTCATGCATGGCTTAGTCATTGGGGGCTGCCAGAACTGCTGGGGCTGTTGAGAGAGCTCTTGCAGTACCTGGTGGAGAGCAAAGGCGATCCCTGCTCAGTTTGACTGGACATCTTCACAACAGCATGTTTCTGCTGTGGTTTCATAAGCTGGGCTGCATTGCTAGGAGCTGCTGAAAGAAGCAAAATGACTCTTTCTCTTCCCTTAAGAGCCACCCCAAAAAACACCCAGCAACACCAAGTTTGTTGGAAGTCAGCTTAGCAATCCCAAACCACTGCTGAGCTCTCCCCTAGTAACACAACTGGGCTAGTCACAGTCCCGCAAAGCCAACACCGAGCCGCAATCCCAAATGTGTGTGCTCGCAAACACCTGCTCTCTGCATACATATGAGACATAAGCCACCCCTGGCTGGGAGAAAAAGAAACTCTCAACACATGTTTCTGGCCTAAAACCATTTCAACTGTGGCTACAGAAAGCTTTTCAGGTATGCTTCAGCTAGATTAGATAAACACATCTGAAATGCAGCACACCTGAAAACACCCAGTGGTGTTTTACGCAAAGTATATTTAATTGAAATGCAAAACCCTCCTGTTGAGGTAATAGATGAAGGTTAAGTGACTTGCGTAGGGAACTCGTGCTGGTACCTACAGGTCCCCAGGGTATCATTCCCACACACCACAGAACAAATCATTTGCAGGGAGGGAACAGGGACCAGCAGGACACACAAGGACGGAGAGAAGAGGAGGCTCAGATCACATCCCAGCTCTGAAAGCATACTTACGGCAAAGATAACACAGGAGTACAGCATCCTTTATGCAGAGGTATCCCCCTGCTCAAAATTAATTTCATCTATTTAAAGAGGCAAATAGCAGCTCCCCAGGAAAAAAAAAAACCTCTAACACCTGCATTGCCAGACTGAATTTCTAACAAGTGTATCTCAATTAATTTTTTGGGTTTGGGGTATCACTGTGACTTGGCTGTTACGGCCGCCTCCGAAGGCCACAGTGGGCTGAGTATGTGCAGAGCATTTCAGGGTGACAAATAAAACCAGCAAAGCCTCATCTAGGACAGACTTTGTGAGTAACCCCATGAAGTTAGTCACTGCTGCCTGAAGCTCTGCAGAGAGATTTTTCAATCCTATGAGCTCGCCAGGGAGCAAAGGGCTCTCCACACCTCCAGCAAAGGAGACCTAGCCCTATGGTAGCCAACCCCCTCGAATGCTGCCACAGCATTACTGCAGCGATTTGGCAGCAGACTGCAGTGCAGCCTAGGAATGGCTTTGGTTTGGGGCCACTCTCCAGAGCTAGAAATTGAGACACATCAGTATTG